CCTCACACAGTTACAAATAGATATAAAGAGTTTTCTGAAACTTATCGAAGCTAAAAATGATAAATCACAGCAGCTGGACCAAATCTGCTTAGTTACACTGGACAATATGAGGCCATGTTTTCAGTCACTAGCGACACATTTTAATGCAACAGCCTGAAATAAAGTTACTTCACATGTGGTTTTATCCACGCACAGAAAATCTGGTGGTCTCAGAAACATTTCAGAGAAGCTAAAGTTTCCTTGCTGCCATTCTGACACCAGCTAACTTGCTAACGTTAGCTAACTTTAGGTCACATCAGCATCCGAGCTGGCTAACGGCGGCATTAGCCCCCGATGTAGCCGACTAAACGAGTCATTTTCTTGGACAAAACAACGTTAAATAAGCTTTTACCTTGTGTAGCTGTGTCCTCCGGTAGTGTTTTGCTGCCAGCTTTTGAGACAAGAACCGCCAAAAGGCAGAGCAGAATCGCAGCGGTCCTGCTCCAGTCCACAGCCCGCATCATTGCAGATGTGTGTGCCAACGCAAACGTTATAAAACAAAGTAGAAACCAAATCATTTGCTTTTACAAACTCACTGACCGGACACATCGGCGTACGCAAGGTTTACTCCGCAAAGGAGGCGGCAATACATGTTTAGCAGCACCTGCATTCCTGATTTTTTTTGCCAGGAAAGCGGCGTTTCTTCTGTCTCATTGTGCATCCCCAGCCCTTTTACCACTCGCTCGGTTTTCCGCCAGGGTCAGGGAGGAAGGCGGCCCCGTTCATCTGAACCTCCTGCCCCACATCCAACAGGCGTCTTCTTCCACACGCAGCACCGCTGCCATCTACAGAGCTCCAGCGCCACCTGCCGCCCAGATCATATATAAAGGTGTTCTTGTTGGGTCATTTTTCACCACCTGAGCTTCAATGTGCGAAACTCTAAATTATAGAGCCACACAAATGGCAAAATAGAGTACAGGTAATCACACAAGTCCAAAATCAATCAAAGTAAAGGTACAATAAATTCACACCACTTACTGAAATATACTGTACAGTACATATGCTGGATGAAAATTGTGAAATAGTCAGAAATAAAAACATGCATTATACATTCACATGATACTTCAAGAGGAGAAATTATGGGTCTGCATAGTCTTTGTTGACTAACGGCTTAAAAAAGGTTAATTCAGTACAAAAGTGGGATATGTATGCAGTAATTGAGATGCCTTTTGGATTCACACAGTAAAAAATCTTTATGGTGAAATGATCATTGAATCTCAGAACTTGCAGGTATTTCTGTCCATCTGGAACTACTCTATGCTGGCAATCTGACATTCATCCACATTTGTTCTATTTAATAAGCAATGTAAGGGCAGCCTGTCAGTGGCTGTTATGGAAAGAGAGGCGGACCCAGGTAGCCGACTTCAGTGCAAGCAGTGATTTATTATAATACAGTGCAATACAGTGATAAAAAAAAATAAGTCAGTAGAAGATGATGAAGGGGGGAACCGGGTGTCGACCAGCAGCAGGAGTAGAGGAATGAGGAGGGCTGAGCTGCGTCACGAGGTCACTCCTGGGCTGGTCGGTGGGTGATGGTGGCTACTGAAGAAACAAAGGCAGAGAGGTGATGAGATGGAGACAACTGGTGACTGTGCATCGACCTGTCTGGAAGGGTTGAAATGTGACAAGGTCCAGAGGAAACAGCAGTCTGTGCAGGGAAAAAGAGCAGACTGTAAACGGACAAATGTGACAAGGTCCAGAGGAAATAGCAGTCCGTGCAGGGAAAAAGAGCAGACTATAAACGGAGAAGCATAACGAGAAACACCAGGAAACAAAAATAATATGGGGACTAGAATTCTGGAGAAAAAAACAACAAACAAATAATAATCCAAATAGAGAGACAAGGAGAGGGCCTGAGAACGTGAACAAACTGGCAAGGGAGTGATAGGTGAGCCGGGTATAAGTAAAGGACAAACTAATGAAGTGCAGCTGGTGATAATCAAGGAGTGAGGAGCAGGTGTAAATGATGAGGAATCAGGGGCTAGAAGAGAGAGGCAAGTGCAGCCAGGCAAACCTGACATACTGCTACATAACAAACTGCATATTTGATTGTCTTTATTTGTTACTTTTGTAACTGTTATAAATAAACAAACAAACAATATAAATATAATATGCTTACTGGGAGTCATGAATGATTAATTTGTGATGCTTGAACCAGTGTCATTCAATAGCTGTGACTACATGGATTTGAAAGAATCAGTGCAAGAATGCAGTATGCTTTGTTTACTGTTAACCATCATAAATGAACAGTGAAACATTCTACTTGTAGTGAAAAATATTCCTTGCTAGCTATAATTACTTTGCAGTTCAAAACTTTACACACAGAACATTTAAGCTCTTAGCATATGATAAAGCTACAGAAAAAAGCTCCATTTCAGCCAGCTACAGTATAAATACTCATGGGCCTTTTTTCTACAACATGAGTAAGTTCACGTTTGAAGAGCTTGCAGAAATATTTTGCCCCTTGAATTGTTAATGCAGGACCTGCTTTATATCCAAGATTTTTACTTGTAATGAAGTGCTTTTACATTTGTGTACTGCTTCTTTTATTTGAATATATACTTTCACTGGAAATACAGAATGTAGATTGTATGGTGAGACAAGGGAAGCATATAATAAGCTTTTCCAGTTTTGGCCTAAGTTGTAGAATGGCCTGAACAATTAAGAAATCAGACTGTGAGACTTCACAAAGATTGGAGCAGGTACAGGAGCATCAGTAGGTGGCTGAAGATAAAGCAGAAACACAGTTGAAGTAGTAATCAGGAAGTACCTATATGAGAAGAGCCATGCTAGTAATAACAGAAGGCACCGTGGCCATCCTTAAATATTAACGCAACACACTATTTATGTAACCTGGAATTGAAAATGATGCAGAGATTGAGAAGTGGCAAAAGTCAAAGTAGCATAATAAGCCAATAAGAATCAACATGTGACACTTAAAGGTGGCACACCACTGGTATTTTAGTGGACAGTGGCATCTGCTGGTGAATTTGAGTTGCATATGTCATTATGAATCTGTATGTGCTGACAAGAAGTGCTATATGACAGAGGAACATTCATTCATTTTCTACCGCTTAATCCCTGAACGGGATCACGGGGGGAGCCAATCCCGGCCGGCAATAGGGCG